AGAAATAGAGGGGAAGGAAGAGGAAAAGGAAGATATTGAAGGCAAGAGCTCCTTGTTCATTCGGAAAGACCAGTTTGGAGCTAAGTTTAACCTTGTTAAGAGCATGTGCGATTCTGTTAATGTTAGGAATTTTGATTTCCAGTGTAAATAATCCCTCAGTTAAACATGGCTTCTCCTGGTTATTGGTAGCATTTTTAGAATAGGGAGATATAACCCAGATAGGTTGGCCTTACTTTCATATAGCTTATTGGGATGCAGATGGTGACTAGTTATACATTTGGAGACCTGGTGACCTCAAGATTCAGCAAAGTTATGTTTCTCCAAGAGTAGCCTTTAGATATTTCTTTGCCTTCCAAATCCCTGTGTGACTGATATGAATATTAAACATAGAATGTTAAGAATGATAAAAAAATACTTAGATTTTTTTAGAAATAAAATTCTTTAATAAAAAAACTATTTTTTCCACTAAGCAATTGGATTAGAATTCAAAACTAAGTTTTTCTATATAAACATAAAAGATAACTACTGTAATTACCTGTGTTGTTTATTTTATACAGCCTTTTTTGGCACATCTTATGGTTGGATGCCAAATAGAGTTGGCTGTATTTTTAGAGATAATTTACTATATCCTGCATACTTGTGTTTAGGAAATATTTGATTTTTTTTTACCTTAGAAAAAAAAGAAGAAATAACTTAGTGAGTGAAGACTACTGCCTGTTTCTTCTTCCCTTCAAAAATATTTTTTCAGTGGAAAAAAGGTATAAATTAACACCAAAAAAATACTATGGGAACAATGTTTTAAAAATGTATAGATTTTTTTTTTAACAGTAACTCCAAAAAGATTGTGAATATTATGTAAGAATAGTACTGTTTAGATTGTTTGAAATTTTAGATTGTACTTTTTATTTGAATTTAATGATGCAATTAATAGTACAGAAATTGGTATTGTGTTAAGAATAGATGCATAGCTATGTCATTTGGTAAATACACCTAAAATAAAGGAAGTGCCAACAAATTTCAGAAGTGCAGGAAACAATGTTGTCATTTTTAGTGTTATTTGCATATTGCTTCAAAAAAAGATACACATGAAATGAAGCACTAAAAAGTGAAAATCCAATTTTAGTCTGCTTTTGTCTAATCAAGGTCAAGGTAAAAAAAACCCTTTTTCCCCAAATACACACACTGTAGATTCATTAAAATATCAGCAATATTTCTGATAAACTTTACATGAAATATGCTTACTTGCTCTATTACAATATGCATACTTAGCTATGCTAGGGCACAGAGGGCAAAGATTGCATTGCAAAAAAGGCAATAATCTTGAAGTTAAATGACTGAGAGAACTAATTACATGAAATAGGTCCTTTTCAAGTTATAATGGTTGCCACTATCTGCCCTGAAATGCTGAGAGGGCAGTCATAATTAAGTGAATTTCCAGTACCCATGAGCTCAATCATATCTTCTTTGGACATTAAAACTATTGTTGCTTTCAAGTTTGGGAATTTTTGGGATGTGCCAGTCATGAGTTTGCTTAGACTAATATATGTATTGCTGTTTGTAGAGTGGGATTTGGGTACTTCATTTGTCTTGTCTCTTCTTTGGTTCTTTTCTGTTCTTCCTTCTCTTGAAAGAATTCTTTTAGTTTTGGCTTTCTCAAATAAAAAGGAAAAATGCAATTTGACATACTGTACACTAGTACTCACCAGCAGGTTGGAAAAAAGCACAGCTATTAGCATATTGCTACCACAACTCCAAATGAAATACTGTATGCTGCAACACTGTTTAATAATAATATTGTAATAGAATTATTGTTTTATAATTACATACAGAATTATTAAAATCTATGTATATATTTTAGATTTTGATTATTAAAATATATTACACATAGTAGCTTTAAAAACATTTCAAAAGAGAAGGCAGATTAAGATTTGTGTATTCCAAGTTGTATTGTAGCGGACACAAGTTTGTACTACATTTAGATCAATGTACTAAAATTGTTAATATTGCAATTTGCTGTTGAGGTACAGTATGCACGGTGTGAAACCTTTATTTAGCAAAATTGTAATGATCACTTACAAAACAGTGGTGTACATAATGGCACCTAGTTAAAGGCAGTCTGAAAGAATTATGCTAGTACTACAGTATACTGTTGATGTATGGATATCTGTGGATGTGTGTGACACATTTGGATGTGTAGTTTTTTGTCCATTTATTTGGCTCACGATACCAAATTAAAAACTATATGTTGTGAAGGAGACACTTCCTGTTCCATTTTAAATAGATCCTTTAAAAATTAAAGGGAGCTGGACTAACTTTAATCATTCATAATGTCTGAACCACAGCTGTAGAGAGAGATGGACAGGCAGAAAGAAAGTCAAGAAAAGAACCCCTGTGAGAAAATGCTTGTGTCCTACTGCTAATGGGTGGCAAAGAAGAAAAAGGATCTGTTTTTCATGCATAAAAAGTGTTTCTTTAGCTTCATAGAGCATGCAGTTGTACTGCAGACATACCACTTTGTCATTTAAATTGTTGTTCTACTTCTTTAAATCAACTTAACATATAATATTAATACATAATCATGTAAGTAAAAGTTAACTGAAAATAAAAATAACCTAGGCATAATAATGTTTCAGAACTTTATTAACAATATTAATTCATTAATATAAATATGATTACAGTACTGTGTATACACTGGGCTCACAAATTGTTGGCACCCTTGATAATGACTAACCAAAAAGATGTCTAAAATAAACAGCACAGAGCTTTATTTTATGCCCCATAATGGGAATTTTATCCCACAGGATTTTATTCTAATACAATTATTTAGAAACAAATGAGCAATAGGATTTTTTTTTCAAATTAGTGTAAAATTATTAGATCCCTTAAGCTTTTTTACAAGGAAAATCAAAGTAAATTAAACCTGCAATGGAATTCCACTTATTTAAATACAGCTCAGTCCTAAGGAATTCTTTTTGGGCTGCTGTTTCATGAGGAAAAGCCCCAGGGTGTCATGTTTGCTACAGTATCTCTACATTATTGCAGTTCATTCATGTCATAAAATAATTTATTATTAATATTATTTTAATATTTAACATACTGTGTTAGATACATTTAACCACATTTATCTCACAAACCAAATAAATTTAGATGAATCCAAACAAATCCCAAAGTGTTTCAATATAAAACAATATGAATATAAAGACTGAATAAAAACTTGCATAAAATTACTGAGAAGCACACTTAAAAAACACAAATTATAAATAAAAACACATTCTCATAATAATTGTGGCATTGCTGGGGCAATTCTACATCCTTATCCTCTACATGACTATAATACATTATCACTTTGGATGACATATTTGTATTTTTGTTGGTATCTGCCCTAATGTTAAAACGTTTTCTATTCTATTTTTTTCAGGACAGAATAAAATAAATGAAAAAATGGAAAGCCCACAGACTACAATGGAGAAGGAATGCCCTTAGACTATACTGGAACAGAAAGATAAACAGCTCAAAGATTATAATCCCTGACTCAATTCATAAAACGGAAAAGATAATTTCTAGTCAATTACATTGTATTAACTAAATTGTCCAAAATAATGTACAAATTAAAAGTGTAATAACAAGACAGAACCTTTGTTTTCTATGGAATGACAGGCCATGAATACAAAAATATAGGTAGAATTCTTGGGATTGATTCCCGGCCAATGTGCGAACTGTACTCAAATTGCCCCTAATGGATAATAAAAACATTCTCACAATAAAACTAGTATAATAAATAACATGTATACCAGATTTATATTTTGTCACAGTATATTAAATATTACATTAATATTATTAATAAAAGTAGAAATAACTAAATTATATTTAATGGAATCACCAGTTGAGTCAAAATCATAATTCATATTGAATACAAATTCCCAGAAATGACAGATAAATCAAGACACAAAAAGTTCAGAGGCTTAAATCTAACAATATATAAACTTATAATTAAAAGCAGAACAAATACATTAATATAACTTCTTATCACCTTGCACATTCATGGACTTACATTCCCAACTGTCCCTCTTCCTGCATTCTACGTTAATTGGAAGATCATGGAACATTCTGTTAATGTAATTATTGCACTTTTGTTCAATCAGCTCAGTGGGATCAAGTTGCTCGAAATACAGTGAAGCTCATTTTCTTTGATTTAATCATTTATGAAACAATAAAAAATAATTTATCAAAATATCTGATTAGTAGTCATTTGTAATAAATAAAACATACAGATTGTGAGGATAAAAACATATTTGTGGTGTTACAGTGATAAGCAAAGCTTACAACCTTTTTTGTAAGGAAGAACTTACATAGTTTACATACTGTACATTCATATGAAAGCTCTCGGTCTAAAAAACACTTCTCACTCCCCTATTTACTCCCCTTTGGGAAAAGGCATTGGAAATAAAATGTATTTATTGTTGCAGAAAAAGTGTACTAGAGCAAATGTGAGAATCCTGCCATCGAAAGATAAAGAAAACTAATTTTACCAATCACTGGACAGCAAGATAAACAGGATAAAAAGGATCTCCAGGATCCTTGGAAAGATTAGGTAAATTTAAAGATGCTCCTGAACAGAAACCAATTAACAGTGCAGTGCAAAACTGTATCAGCTACAATGCAACTTACAGCATGAAACAGTTATTCATATCACTACCCCAAACATTTATTTTACTTATATTTTTTATAATTATAATTAAAATTATACTAAAATAATGTATTCTCTAACTATAAATTATAAACAATTACTAATAATGCTGTATACTATATGTATTTTTAAAATGATCATTATATTAGTGCTATACAATATTGCAACATACAGTATCTCATTTGGAGTTGTGGTAACAACATCCTGTCTCAACAATGTAATTGTATTTAATTTAATTGTTTTTCACTAGTATGCATACAGTATGATTACTGCAGGAAAGCACAAATGGGTTAAATGAAGCTACCATTCCATACCAGACAGCTGCACCTGTACATGATCAATTTGTTTATCTATTTATTTACTTTTAGAAACAGACCTGGATGGCTAGTCTGACCACAGCTAAAACGTTGTTCTATGTTCAGGATCTTCCGGACTCACTCTTCTAGCATCTCTGAATACTGGCCTCCAATTATATTATTTAAATGGAACTTCCTACTACTGAGATTCATTGTATCCATTGGCCTAATGCATCAGGGATCCATTGAAGCAGTCTGGACATCTTTTAAGTATCCTTTGTAACATTCGCTCATGCCAGAAAGCTGTGAGATGCCCTAGTGCTGCAATGACAAATGACATCACCTTATATACAAAAAGTTACAAACTATGGGAAAAAATCAATACCTCTTGTCGTAAATAGGTTACTTATCATTAAATATTTAAGACCAGGTCTCACTTGGTCATAAAGCTTGGTGTTCCTGTGGTTTTTGGCTTGGATGTGTAGCGGCAATGCTTGTTAATAAGGCAGAATTAAGTGTTGCTGTGCTTTCCCAAATGAGGCCCCATCTCTCTCTTCATCTCTGTGGTGCAGCCACAGAGAAACTTTTCATGCAGGCTGATTTAAGGTTTCTTTTGATAAGGGACAGCTCCCAAATGGGGATGCACTTAGCTAAGCCTGGCTATCATGATCAATGGTCATCCATTGGCACCTATCTGTCTAGGGAGTGCCAGATGGACATCTGGACTGCATTCCTAAGTGTCAGGAGTAAGTGACTCGTATCTCACCTTGATCAACCAATCAGGGACTGGTAGGGCCGAGTAACCCACGTGGGACTCTGATGCCCATGAAACTTTCAGCCAATGAACGAGCTGAAGTTCCTCCAGGTCAAAACAGGCAATACAGAGGGCCTGAGTAAAAGAATTCCAGGGGTTCGAGAACTATACAGAGGGCCTGAGGAAGAATTCCAGGGGCGTGAGACAATTCCAGGGCAGGACGGCCCAGGAGCAGAAAGGCTCCCAAGGCAGGACATTCTCGCAGCGCGCCTCCTGACCATCCTGAGACTCAGCCCGGACAACCACGGAACGGCCAGTGTGTCCGAGTCCCAGAACTTTGCTTTGTTCTAAGAGTCGAGAGTGGAGGTTGCCCCGAGTAACCAAAGGATCC